GGCTGTTTTCCCTGTCTTTCCTAAGCATTTGTGTCACTGCTGAGAGGGACCTAAAAGACATTAAAGGGCAGACCTCCACCCACCATGTTCTGCCCAGCACCTGGAAAGCCACCAGCCATCCTTAGCTGCAGCTGCTGGTGGAAAGAGAAGTGCCTGCAGCAATTGCTACAGCTCTCATCTCCTGACATTTCTAAGCCAGGAGTAACTTTACATGTTCTCAGTGAGGTGGAAAAAAGAACAAAGCAGGGATTCAGTCAAAGCAAGGGTAAAAACCCTACATTTTGAACAAAAGTCAAATGCAAAACAAGAGCAATGTGCTGGGTGACAGTACGGAAGAGAAGGGGAGCACGCGGAGAATCTGAGGCAACAACTGTGTACACCAACATGGGGATAAGCAGCACTGTCTCTATAGAAGCTGACATGTGAGAGTGTGGGATGTATTTTATTGGCTTATGACAATAGGGTTAAGAAGAACATCATGAGTAAAACAATTATGCTCTTTATTCAGCATTGGAAAGGCTTCAGTACAGAGAGGGTGTAATTGGAAAGACTGCTATTTCAGCATAAGGAATAGGAGGCAACACACAGAATCACCAGGTCATAGATTTAAAAGTGAAGTAAGACAAAGCACTTTTTCCACACTAGGCAGCAGGAGTCATCACCACAGGATGATGCAGATGCCAAAGCACGTGTGGGTTTGACAGCGAGCTAGACAAATTTACAGTGTGTCTGGGGGGATCTTCAGGGCTTATTAAACAACAGTGACAAAAAAAATGAGGATACGACCTACTGTTTAAGAAAACCATAATTTCCAGGAGAAATCTGTAATTTCTGGGAGAAGATGGTGGGGGAAGGATTGCCACATTTGTTTTGTCCTGCTGCTCCAGCCCTAGTCATGAATTACTGACATCTGCCAGAGACAGGAAATTTGTCCAGCTGAACATTTTGGCCCAAACTAGTACTTCAGTCATTAGGTTCTCATTTCCTTCTATCCTAATCCGCCCCCCAAAACAAACAAACAAAGTATTTGGCTACTTCCATTAATTCAGAAATAATGAAAACCTGTCAGCTGTCAGTCTGATAGATCCTGAACTGGAGGATCTCTAGATGCTCCTTCATGCCCCATATCACTACAGTCCTGTTATTTTCTCTTCAAGGATTCCCACATCCCAAGCAAGAGGCAAGACTGGAACAAAGTACACACTGCACACGGACAAAGTTGCCAAGGATTTGAGCCAAAGGGTGATTAATTCACTCTAGCTCAGGCAGTTGAAAACATGAGATTTGCATCTGAGATCATCACCCTATGCTTCATTACCGTCAGAGATAAACAGACACCTGCTGAGGGTGACTCATCTCATGCTAAAGCAGGGATCCAACAGTCAGTTCATCTAACCTGTTGCAATTATTGGAAGTGGAAATAGTAGGAAACAGACCGTTTTCAGTACAGAGGCACAGAGAAGTTCCGAGAGATACACCGGATATGTACCAACAAAGATTTCAGATACACCTAAAGAAAAGGTGAAGTTCTTTGAATTTGAGATTATGCAAAATCTGTCCTGACAAATAAGAGATTTCTTGTATTTCATGTCCTCTATCAAGATCAAACTATTTCTGGTTCATGCTATCAACTAGTTTCACCAGTCTCTGAACATGTGTCTTAATTCTTACAAGTTAACCTACAGACTGTAGCCAAAGGTTTCCTATTGTTACTCATCACAGCAGGGAAAGTCAGCTGAGACAGGAGAGAGCTGTGAGGAATTCCAAAAGGACCTAAAAATACCCAGCAAGGGCAATAGCACACTTAGAGATAAATATGGAGCAATGCATATTTGACAGAATAATCTGAACTATTCATACAAGTTGACTTGCTCAAACCAACTGTAGCACTTTGGAGACACAAGTGTTATCAACCAGTCAATGAAATTTCTTCCTTGTTGTGAGGCACCATGTAAAACAGAAACAAAACAAACCTTTTAAGAAGAGAAGGAAAGCCCCAGCAGATTGCAAAGGTATGTGGAAAAATCACTAGCATTCCATCTCTTAGAAATACTGTATCCAGTTATCAAGAAAAAAAAAAAAGTGAAAAAAATCAAGGCAGAATCAGATTTTCCTTGCTGCCAGCATGTATGTCCACATGCCACATACATGGTGCATTGTGCAGCACAACACCTGGCAGAGATCTCTGGTCTAGGAGTGCAGGAGCTGGCACATCTGTGTGACAGAGCAGCACCATGCTGGGACAGTAAATCAGGTTCTGGAAAGGCTACAGTCCCTGTGGCTCCCAGACAGCTGGTGAGGAGAAGTCTGCATGGTTATGGTAGATAGCTCAACGGGAGATGAAATCTCATGTTTGTTGGGATTAAACTGACTACTGTTTAGATATTATGGAAATACATTCATTTTCTGAATAGTTTAATCAGCATTTACTCCTTCAGGTATTTCCTTTGTACTGCAAGGATAAGACTGAGAAAAATGAAGGTTTTCAAATCTACTTTAAAAAAGGTTGCTGTAAAGGGAAAGGAAATAATCTGTTTGTCATATCTACAATAAAGAGGACACGCTGTGTTAGACTCAAATTTCTGTAAGGAAGACTTAACTCAGACAGCAGGAAGATGGATTCACTGTATGTTCGACTGACAAGAATTTGTGTAGTCTTCAGCACTGGAGAAGATAGATGTAAGATGTGCCCCTCCTGCCAGACTACAAAACAACATGTGACCATTTTGATTTTGGGCTAAGGAGATACGACAGTTTGATTTGAAATTACTTCCTTCTGATTCCATTGATCTTAGACCAGTCATCACTTCCTATCATGCAAAAGTTGTTTCTCACTATTCCAGCAGCAGTAGATACTCTCCTGCAGATGCTAATCCATTATCTGACAGAGGTGGTCATGAAGCATGTTTTAGGCAACAACCCTCTGCAGAGGAGACATACCAGCATAGACAGATGCAGTCCACATCTGGAAAATGATGCAAGAAAGATTTCTATGGTTGTGACCACAGAAGTGACCATGTGATCAACTGGTGCTATGTGATGGAGAAAGAAGGGATGACAAGAGTTGGGTAGGGAGACAGAAACAGTAGTCTGTCACTTTCCACTCAGTAAGTCTTCATTGAATATCAGCACATCAAAAGGTAAATATTTTTTTGCAGTATGCACAGTCAAGCCTAACAAGTAAAAGTGCCACAAACCTCATTAGAGCAAAGAAAGGACTGAACTCACTGTTGGGCTCCTCTGTTTAACTTCTTGCAGAGCTTTAATGGGGGCACTCCGTGTTTCTTCCGGTAGTCATTGTGTGCTTTCAAGACTTCTTCAGCAAATTGTTTGGAAGCTGAAATCACATTAAAAAAAAAATTGGAAAGGTCTGTCAAATACAGACATCAGTGAAGACAGAAAAAACATACCCTGTAGCTAAGGTGCTGATGCAGGCTGGACTGAAGAACAGAATACCACCACCCTCAATACCTGGGAATAGGATGAAATGAACCTTTAATGCCTTCCATCCAGGAACTAACCCTGTGAGACACTCCCATTGGGATGGTACAGACTCACTAAAGGTTGAAGAAAATTGAAAATCGTATTCCTTTACTCAACAGCAAGGTGATTTAAGGGTAGTTTGACTGATTTTCATTTTAAGATTTCAGCACACTGCAGCACTACTGCAAACAAGTCTGAGATTAAGCAAAGAATAGGTCCTCTAAGGAGATGCACTAAAAATGCAAATTATTGTCACTGCATGCAAGAATTTTCTGTATTAGTCAAGATAGCACCTAAAGATAATGGAGACACTAAAATGTGTAGAACTATGCAAATACTTGGAAACATATACCATTCTTTTTAGTCATTATATAGAATATTCAAATTCATAGAAATCTCAAAATGCACCTTTAATTGGATCAAGACAAATAATTTTTCACAAACAGCAACTGATAAGGAAAGAAATGAGAGCTGGGGGTGATCTTCTTTCCCCTAGAGTGCATTCAGTGAATATGTGAATTCCAAAGTTACTGCAAAGGTTTAAAAAAAACTCCTGTTTATCCACGGTAAACTTGGCACTCTCAGGAGCATTAACACAGAGGGTGAGCAACAAGTCGTAATGCAATTCACTTTGATGGCAATTCCACATTATCTCCTTTTATGACTGCTGATTTTTTCCCACCAGGATTCAGAGGAAAAAAAAACAAAACCTTCCCTGGTACTGATCACCTTGTGGAGTTTGTTGCTTTAGGAGAAATTTTAGGAGATCGTTTTCAATTTCTTGGTATTGATGAAGCTTCTGAAGAGACCAAGACATCTTTGAGTATTTACTCCACTTTTACCATGACACAGGCTTCTACATTTATTAATGATTCATCAGCTTTATTTCTGAATATCCCAATTAGCACGATTACCATTATTTTCCTTGTAAGACACTTCTGAAGCCAAAATAGACCTCATGACTAGAAAGTGTTTCCTGTTACCAAGCTTAACTTTCTCACCTTTCTCTCACTACACGATTCCAAGAAATATCATCAAGCATTCTCTTCTTTATCAGCATGAACACTGTCCTGCTGTTTGCAGTGAAGCATTTTCTTCCCATAGAGCTGTCAGTTTGCACATACTGCTCTTCGTAACTTTTTCCTAAGGTGATTACTCAACCCATGCTTGTGCATTCTGCTGTTCTCAGAGCTCTCTCCAGTTTCCCCAACAGCTTTAGGATAATATGGCAGCCTAAAATAATCTCAATATCCAATGCACGTAGGAAGCCATTACTGTTTCATGCAGTACCTTAAACCTTTTGAACTTAGTCTGAAGTTGGGTTGACGTTTCACAGACCAAAGTGTCATTGTGGACATATATCTAACACATTCTTCATCAACATGTTTTCAGGCTAGATTATTTTGTATAAAATTGTTGGTATAAGACAGCAAGAGGAACCCTGTTGAGTGAGATAAGATCTGCCCACCACCTTTCTCCTCTTAGGTTTTCCTTCGATTTTGTATGTCACAAGTTGCATATCAAACAGAACAGGTACCCCCACTCTGGTGTTTAAGCATCCACACACCCTTTTGCTAACAAGCCCCTCCCAGCACTCTGACTATCGTTGCCCCCAGCTCACTGATTCTATCTGGCCAGAGTCTTAAACCTCTCATCTGCTGCAGCGTGAAGGGTCACAGCCTTGATAAGGTATCTATCTGTGATTACTGAGGATTACTGATGGTTATCCATGGTCACTGAGGAAAGCAAGCCTGCAGCCAGTCTCCTTGATTTCACTGATGCAGAGGTGTGTGCTTCCAGCAGGGAAATTTTAAGATGACCCACAGATCAAAGAAGTTGAAGTACAGAGCTTTGGAAGTTGCATCACATGTGCCAGGCTGCGTTCTTCTGCACAAGACCATGTTAAAGCTTGTGGCTGCTATCACCTAGACTTAATATCTCATCCACACAGTATTAAATGGTAAACAATCCGACCTGCAAGTGTGAGAGTTTCCATACAAATTATTTGTTCTCAATGACAATAATGAAATCAAATTCTAAAAAAAAAAAAAATAATGTCAACTGAAATACAGGCTTTGTCAATTGTCAGTCCACCCATTAGCAGAAGTACTGCATAATCCAGCTCTCTGTTAATATTCTTAGAAAGATCAACAAGGCATGGGCAAAACCAAGTTTCTTCTAGCCACGGCAGACACTTCTCTGCTGTCCCTAGAGAACCTCCATCCCCCCTTTCCCTCAAAGGTGGCTGCTATAGAAACACTTATCTCCCATGACTCAGGCTCATGTGCTAACCACCTCCCTCTCTGCACAGCTTCTCCCGTGCATGCTGATGTGTGGAGAGGGACACCCAACTGCCAAATGTGTTTCAGATTTGTTTCAGAAGACATGTTAAGTATTTCCATCTTACCAGTGTTCCATACGCTGGGAAGCCAGACATTAAAAGTGAGAGTTAATGGGAGTTTTCAGGCTCCCACCCAAAAGGGAACAGCTTTCCAAACAGCTTTGGAAATGTACTTTTTTTCCCTTCATGCAGGCTGCTTGAGCTGCTAGAAAAAAATTATTTCCTATTGTCAGGAAGTTAGGTTTGGTCATGAATCATTACACAGCTTAATAAGTATAACAGCTAAAGGCATAAGACAGAGTTGCTTGCTTCTCATTATTCAATTATTTACTTCTATTTTGGATTTTTCTGGAACGTTGGCTGAGATAATGACAGCGTGTGACAATGCATTTCCAGGCTATGATGTGGTACAGAGCACACCTCACCCTTGTGATGTTTTTGGACTTTCAGTTTCTCTGATAACTTTGTGTTACTAAGGAAAAGTAAGCAGAGGGATCTAGATTACCTTTTCCCATCAGATTTGGGTTTCTGAATATTCTATTTCTCCATTCTCTTACTGTCTCTAAACAGCACCAATCTACTCAGTCTTTCTCAGGTGAAGAGCTCTTCGTGCCTGAATCCCTGTCTCTTCTCTCAACCCTGCCTTCTCCTGCTCTGCTCCTCCCTTAGTTTGGACATCAAACCAGAAGTGAGTTATCTGAACACGTCTTCCACAATCCTAGCTGCTCTGCCTCACCTTTGCAGCTGCCAGCTGAACCCACCCCACTGGTCCTGCAGAACTGCAAAATGGTGTGGGCAAAGAGTAGCAGTCAAATATTCCACAAAACACAAACATAAACCCCCTACCCAGTACCTACACAACAGGAATGCTGTGGGTAGCCCTCAGGATGCACAACGTAATATAAGGCACACACCTGACTAACAAAAAAAGGCGTATTTTTATGGGGAAATATTCACCCCCGTGATTTGAGAAAGAGACTAGTATTAAGTTTTAGAAGTATCATTGTCTTCTCAGTGCTCTCTGTCCCGTTGTTTATGGATTAATCTTCACCGGTTATTTAGTACTTTCCATATGTACTAAGTTTTTTCTGTTTAGCTTTCAGATAATTAACATGTAATGCAATCAACAAGAGAGTTGGGGTTGATTTAGCCTGGAGAAGAGGTCTCCAGGGAGACCTTACTGGCACCTTTCAATACTTAGAGGGGGCCAATCAGAAAGATGAGGACAGACTTTTCAGTAGGGCCTGTAGTGACAGGACAAGGAGTAATGATTCCAAACTATAAAAAGGTAGATTTATGTTAGATAGGAGGAAGAAATTTTTTACAGTGAGGGTGGTGAGACACTGGAACAGGTTGCCCAGAGAGGTGGTAGATGCTCCATCCCTGGAAGCATTCAAGGTCAGGTTGGACAGGGCCATGAGCAACCTGATCTAGTTCAAGATGTTGCTGCTCAGTGCAGGGAGAAGTTGTAAGAGATGACCTTTAAATGTCTCTTTCAGTCCGAACTATTTTCTGATTGTATGAAATGGACCTCATGTAGAATCCTACAGAGAAATGTACCATTATGTCTGTCTCAGTCCCTCTTTGACCCATGACATAGGCCTCAATTCTTTACCCAATGTGTGCATTACAGGGAAATGGTGATAACTACCCCACCTTTCAATTTTGCTCCCAAATAAATAATTAGAGATGTGTTGATAGAGCAACATACTTGAAGAAAGCTACAAAATACACTTCAAGGGACCCACCCTTTTGGAAAGAGGTAAACGCAAAAAACTGATAGCAGCAGCCTTGGCCATGTAACTCACATTACCCAGGACGTGCTGCTGCCACACTCTTTACTGCCCAGAGCCCAGGCAGAAAGAAGCCAAGTGCCATACACCACACCAGCTCTGTGGAGAGGACACAAATGCAAAGTGGACAGAAAATACAAACACCCTCTGCTTTAATAATGAATTCCCTGTAGTCTCCCTTGACTCTGCAGGATTCCCCTGCCCTACTCAGACAGCAGAAATGGGGTATGGAATAAGAACGCAGCAAACACAAGTTTTAATATGCCAAACAGGTTTGTGAAAAAATTCATTGCAGGCTTTAGGGAACTGTAAAGTAATTGTATCAAGAACTCCTTTGTAACTGTCCCAGATCACTGATGATACCTCTGTTTTGACAAAGGACTCAGTTTTACTCAATTCTTGAGTAAAAGACATCCCAGCCTCTAATGACCACATTTTCATCTAGTCCTTTTTAAGAGACCCAACATAATTATATTTAATAATCTTTATGCTCACTCAAAATGTAATTCCCTCAAAACTAGCCTGAGATGACTTTCACACTCTGAGAATAAAATTCCTTCTATGGAGATGTGATGGCTATTTAGTTGATGGCTATTTTGTTGATTTAGCAGGACAGTTGTGCCTCTGCTGAAATTTGTCTCAGCACTTTGGTTTGAAGTCACAAACACTCCAGGATGGTCTTACAGTGTGTATCTTATCCTGCACATACTTACATGCTCC